ATGCAAACATATATTGAAGAAATATTTGTACTCTATATTAAAGGTATTGTTTGCTATGTCTTTGTGTGTATTCAAATATATTTTGAATTATTTATAAAGGGAAAATAATTTGGCTTATCTTACTTACACCTCCAATGAGAGACAAATTAGCTGGTGGGCCTGAGACTGGGAAAAGGCCATGAAATGTTTAACAACCTATGGAACAGAAAGAGAAGGCTAACTGCAAGCTCACATTAAAAGCAGTGAAGCCTGCAAGCCATCCCAAGAGAGCTGGGTCTCTCCCATCCTCAATGAGAGTGTAGGTGACTGGGGGTTTAGGGACCTAATTTTTCATGGAAGGGTGAACTTACTTGGATACATACTGCTGAAGAGAGAGGCTTGTGAAATGAAGCCAGCAAGGCAGATGCCTCATGCATGCCAAGATTTGAGGTGGATGTCATTATGTTTATGATCTTTGGGTAAGGACATGAAGAAAAGAAAGGTACAATGGAAGACAGAATAGTCTAAGATTCTGATATATTCCTTTTGGACAATTAAAATCAGAAGGTGTCAGATTGTAGTCTGGAATGTTGGTTCTTGGTGCACTCATGGCAGAAGAATGGCCAGATGTACCAAAGTAAGGCAAGTAGGAAAATCTGGTTTATTGAGGAGAGAAAGATGGGATTATAGAGCAAGAGCAAGATAGAGGTTTACAGAGCACAATGCATATGCCACAGATGACTGGACCCACTGTCATAGCAAAGGGAGAGCAAAAGAAAGGGCCTGGTTATGGTCTGCATCTTGTTTTATAGTGCCCGGATTGAGATCTCCCTCATGGCTCAGACGTCACTATGGAACCACTTTCATTGGACAGTTGGCAGTTGTATGACCTGAGTCTTATTATGCATGTGGATCTCCCACAAGCTTTTCTAAAAGCCCATTTTGGGCAGATAAACCACTATAACACCCAATTTTGTCCCTAAAAAACCTCAAATCTCTCACTACCTAACAAAGGCAAAACATATTTTGGTCACAAAAACAACAAATCCCTAATTCTTAAGTACTATGAGAGTGTTTATTCTACACCAACTATATAAATCATGTGAAGGGTTTTAAGTGGAACAGCCCTGAATCTATGGTATATAACTATTTTATAAATGAAGCATTTTAATTTGGAAGCAATCACCATCATATTTCACATATAGTGTAACAATATGTATCAGTTATAATTTAAGAATTTCAAACAATATGTTAATAAGTAATTAAACTACCTCATAGTTCAGATTGGGTCTTCTCTTTAAAAACTACTGTTTTAAAAACTAAATTAAAAAAACCTTTTATAAAACAGCATGTGGGAGGTAGAAAACAAAATAATAAAACTGCAGTGAAGGTCAAGGGTGGGAAAGCAAGCCCCAACATTCGGATTTTTGCAGACCTCAGAGAGCTAAAGACTTTTATGAAGATTTCCAAGACCCAACTTCCAGTGTCTTGCAAGTCAGCTGTGTTATATACAGACCAAGACCTGAAGCCCATTTACGATACCTGAAAACATAAATGTAAGTTCTAATTAAGTTTGCAGCTCTAAAGATCATCAAATACAGTAAAAGCAGTTTGCAAATCAGCAAGCCTCTGTATATGTGTAGGGGTCGTCTTTTTAAATCTTGCTCTTAAGTAAATCTCTGTAACTGTTTCCTCATATGGAAAAAGAATGCATTTTGCCGAAGCCAAACAAAAATAATAAACTGGATTTATGGCTAATTTCTCTCAATTATCTTCCTAAGCAAGATCTTAATCCAAGGATAGTCAGGGAAATAATGTCTAAGTGCTAGAGAAAGTTGCTAGACTTGCTAACACTTTATAGGAAACATATTGCCTGCGTATTGTAACATCCTAAGCTGCCTTTTTTTCCAGCAAGATGTGGGCACTACATTTCTTTCTGAGTGAGGAAGCAAATGAATCACTGGGGGTGATAATAGTATTATATCATTGTTGAATTCCAGATTTGGTGACTGTCTTATGATTATATAAGAGAGTGGCTTGTTTTCAGGAAATGCTGAAGTGTTTTGGGTTAAAGGGGCATCATGACTACAATTTACTCAAATGGCCCCAGCAAAGAAAGAAAGAGAGAATGACAAATCAAATGTTGTAAAATGTTAATGACTGGGTGAGGAAATGAGGAAATTTTGTATTATTTTTGCAACATTTCTGTAAATGTGAAATTTTTTTCAAAATAAAAGAATAAGTTTAAAAAGGACACAATTTGAAGGGCCTCCAACTGACCAAATTTGGAACTATTTGAACTTCAAAAAAAAAAAAAAAAAAGACTGCAATTGATTATAACCCAATGAACAAATAAGAATCTAGGAGTCCACATGATACTTTAAAAAGAGAGAAAGAAAGAAAAAGCACTTACCACCACCAGAAGCTACTATTATGCCAACATCTTACTCCGAATTTTTTAGATAAAAAAATTAAGCACTTGCCCCATCTTTTTGAGACGAATTATAGTCATCACCACTTGTTCAGTGAAAGAAAGCTTTTCCTTTCAGAATAATGACAGCTAATACATGTCGAAGAAGTGATAGAATAAAAAGTAAATCACCATTTAACAATGATCAATGAAATAAACAATTATGCAAGAATCATCAGTGCATGCTGAAAAAAATGTGTGTGTGTAAATACATAGAAAGATAACACAAAGATGGTAAAATGTTAATGACAATGAAGCTATAACATGGGTGTATTCTCTGCATTATTCCTTCAAATTCTTGGTATGTTTGAAAGCATACAAAAATACAAAAGCTTTGTGAATACCAATGCCAGTCCATGTTTGACTGGAGAATAGAAACTCAAGCCTAACCAGGAGGTAATCAACCCCTTCAATTATTAAAAGACCTTGGCATATTTGTTATTTTGCTATACGCCTCAACCACAAAATATACATACTAAAGGAGATTTTCTGCTGGCTGCTGAATGTAACAAAGGTTTGCTCTGTATGTATTCAGAAGAGTTCATGAAATAAAAGAAAGTGGCATGGGAGGTTCCACCCTCAAATTCCCCTGGCACTGGGCTCTACTTGGCACAAAGTAGAGAACCCGGCTGATTGACACTCTGAAGTCAAAAATTAAACATCCAGCTACATTTACAACATAAGGTCTTAGAGTTGTCATTATTCACATATTAAAGCAGCAGTCCCCAACCCTCTTGGCACCAGGGACCAGTTTCATGGAAGACAATTTTTCCACCTACAGTTGAGCATGGGGAGCGGCTGTAAATACAGATGAAGCTTCTCCTGCTTGTCTGCCGCTCAGACAAGAGGCAGAGCCTCCTGCTGTGAGCCCTGTACCCCCTTCCTAAGTTTCACAGAGGACAATTTTTCCACAGACGATGGCAGGGGGCGGGGCAGAGCTCTGCAGCAGGTCCCTAACAGGTTGAGGTGGACAGGTACCCGGTGGTTGGGCACTGTAGTATTAAGGGATAACCAAATTCCTCCTTATTCTTTATTAGTACATACTGTTAGAAACACCAAGGGAGGAATGCACGAATGAGGCTGAGATGAAAGTTAACAGGTTTATTTTAACGTCTGTGTACAGACGGGCTGAATCAAAAATGGCGGCTAGGGCTTTTACAGTCGGCTTTGCACAGGCCCTCAAAGGGGGAGGGGCCGGAGGGGGTCTTAGACGCAAAGTTCCCACGGAACTTCCATCAGCCTCTAACACACAGCTGTCTCAAGAAAAGTCTGAGGAAACAGCTGACATTAGACTGTGTCTTGATTTCATGGATAGTCATTCTGATATTTTCTTTAGCTATGAGCTATATCCACTGTGGTAAGTGTCCCAGGAAAGGGTTCTTCTTTTTTGGGTTACTTTTGTTGCTTCCTTCACTTCCCAAACCCTCTCATATCTCATCTTCAAAGAAAATATCCACTGTTCCTAAAGCCATACAATAAAAAGATCTTAAAGTTATTTTTTACAAAAACATGACAGTGATTTTTAATGTTTCTATTCTTATTGCAAAATATATTTAAAAGTATCTTAATCATATCTACCTTAATCACATCGTTTGTAAATATGATATGAGTTCATTGGTCTCTGTATATAAAACGAGATCTGACCTAGGACTGCACCAGCTTTGTGGCTACACATCCTAATCTTCCTGGGGCCCGGAGGTCTACTTCAGCGATGGTGTTAAACTAAAATGCATTGCTATTGTATGCTAGAATCAGTTGAACCATCATGGGCCTGCCACAGATTCTCATGTGGAATAAGCCAGTTGTGTAATCTTGTGCAGAAAAACTACCCAATGGTGTAGGAGGAGAACAATAGCTGAAAACAATATTGCATCAAATTGTAACTTCCAGGGAGAATTTGTTGAGGAGGCAGAATAAATTCTGTGAAAAACTTTCAAGGGCCTTTGCTTTACATACAACAATCCTTAAAATAATGGGTTTGGAGGAGCTTTAGTTTCAGCATTCTCCAACTTTTAAATCATGCCTTAAGGTAGTTGTGTTCAAAGTGCTACACATTCCTCTGGCTGTGCATGACAAGACTCACTAGAGACCTTCAATTTATATTTATTTTTCATCTAAAAAAAGATGGGAAGTAAGTTTTATTAATACAAAAATAGTTAATATACAGGTGGACACTGCTGTCATCTGTATCAGTCAGGGTTCTCCAGAGAAACATAACTCAATGGGATATATAGAGATATATAGGAGGAGATTTATTATGGGAATTGGTTCATGAAATTATGGAGGCTGAGAAGTTCCACAATTTGCTTTCTGCAAGATAAATGCCCATGCTATAATTCAATCTGAACTGAAGGCTTAAGAACAAAGGGAACAAAGGGATGGTGTGACTACCAGTCTGAGTGTAAAGGCCTGAAACGTGGAGTGGGGGGTATAAGTTCTGGAATCCAAAGGCCTGAGAACTAGGAGATATGATATCCAAGGGCAGGAGAAGATGATTTTCCAGGTCAAGAGGAGAGAGAATTCACCCTTCCTCTTCCTTTTTGTTCTATTCAGGGCCTCAATGGATTGGAAGATGCCCACCCACATTGGTGAGAGTGCATTTTCTTTACTCAGCCTACTGACTCATGCTAATTTCCTCCAGAAACACTTTCTTGGACACACCAGAAATGTTTTACCAGCTATGTGGTTATTCCTTAACCCAATCAAGTTGACACATAAAATATTAACCATCACACTGTCCCTCGGGCTACATGTCAGCTGTTTCTTGTGCCCTACTGCACACAAAGAAGAACCTGAGGGAAGATGGAGGTTCTACCACACACATGCTGACACATGCCTTTTTGGGTTTCCAGTGTGTGTGGATATAATTTTGTATGGCCCAGTTAAATTGGTTTGTGAATTAAACTACCTGGTCCTGATTCAAACAAACCTTAACAAATCAGAAAAGTGGCATAAATAGACTTCTGCAAAAACAAACACTATCTCTTCATCCCAGAAAAAAAACCCACACCTTTTTGAAGATAAAATAGCACAAGCACAAGAAAACAAGAAGATAAAGACAAAATTGACATTTCTATTCTCTGGAGATCTTCATTGACTACATAATGTGGTTGATCTGATAAATGATCTCAAGCTCTGAAAAACTCTGAGAAGAATGCTGAAAATAAAAGAGTATCAGGACTTTTGAAATATAGATTTAAACTCAATTTCATTAACAAGGAACCTCACCCTGAGGACCTATTGCACCTTGGAATAATACTTGATGATAGAATAAAGCCATCACGATCAGCAAGATGTATACAACTTAATAATCTAAAATATGAAGTTATAACTTTGTAATTTTTTTCAGTATGGTTTACACATGAGATATTTAATTCTTTAAAACTTTTCATAAAATTTAATGATGAGACTTCCTGAATATAGGAATTCCTGTATAAAATTTTATATATAAGTAATATTCCCATTTTAGTGGCACACGGACAGGTTTATTTGTAAGTAAAGGATGATGCTCTTGTTAAAATTGTGTTGTTATAGACCGTGAGATAAAATTCTTAGTTACCCTGGCCAATTATGAGGGGTTAATCATTATCAATGGTTGTGTTTGGACATTTTTAAAGAGAATTAATACTAAAATAAATGGAAAAATACTTCTTATACCCAGACTTCCAGACTGAACTGAGCAGTGAATCCATGATTATATATTACTTTTGAGGCATTCAGTTTTAAAGAAACTAAAGGTAGCAGAACTGATTCTCAATGGGACATAGTAGGGTATATTCTGCTAGTCTTCAAAATAGCAGAGTTTGCAAAAGTCTGCAAAACAGAGCTATTCTAGCTTTGGTAATAATGTTTTTAATTGTACATGGTTCATTATACTTAGGCAAATTTCTATATTGGAGGCGCATAGCCTTGATAACTAATTATAAGGACCAAGAGAGTCAGTTCTACCAAAGTAGTTGATTCATGAAACAATGGGAGCCCTCAAATCATGGCTCTCACTGGCAGAGTGAGTTGCAGGGACTAGCATGAGGCTGAGCCAGCTGCCTTAGTAACCCTCACTTTCATTTCAGGTGCTTTCTGGGCAGCTTTTTGTTTTTGATTTTGAGTGACACACTGACATCAGTGCAGTTTACCTTAAACCTCCCTCTAATCTGAAATACCTGGGGAAAGGCACATGTCTCATTCCAACAATAGATTCTCTCAGAAGTTTATATACCATAAAATAAATGTAATTATAAAACAATTATAAATTACTTGACATTTGCTCTCTGCATGGTATTATGGTTAGCACTTTACATGCATAATCTATCTCATTATAAAATGTTTCTAAAGAAGTTATATGACTCTCACCAAGCGTCATCTTAAAACAACCATGACTTAACAGCTTAATTCACATAAGTCAAATACTTTTGCAGATTTTCTTTTCCCCAATAACTACTGTTCAGCATGAGTTTTCTCTATACAGACATTTCAGGCTTGTTTCCAGCTTTTAATAGATCACTACATCTGCTTTTAATTCTTTCTACCTCAAGCTTTTCAAAATACAATGCATGGATGACTCACTCCTTAGCACCATCAGCCTTCTAACTGAGGTCCAGCCCAGGGACAGTGTGAGGCCCATAGTAACTCTCAATGCCCGGACTCTGCAGGAATTGTTTGCAAATACAGCTCAGAGCAAGGGGTAAATGGCATCTGTGGCTACATCATAGAACAGTATGGCCTCTAGAGATTCATAGAACATATATTGCAAAATTTCCTGTTTGCAAGCAAAGAGGAGAGGTAGACACAATGACAATTCAGCATAACTTCATATGGGCTCCCTGGTTTGCTAAGTGCTGTATATTGTTATCACATACACTTGCAGGTTGTAGAGTCACATAACCCGCAACCTCAGTTCAAATCCTGTTATCCAATTTATAAACCACGTGACTTGGTCCTGAGTTTCTGCATCCAGAAAGGAAGGGTAATAATAATACCTGCTGCATGGGGTTCATGTAAGGATTAAATGAATTTTTTTTTTCTAGATAAAGTGCTGCGAATGTGCCCAGTACATAGTAAGCACTCAACACAAGCTGATTATTTAAATCTAAAGTGTCATAACAGAGCCATTTTATAATAGAGAAATTAAGCTCAGAGTTAATTTAGTGATTTTCTTGGGTCCTACAGCAAAAAGTGATGATACTAGTATTTGTACCTAAGCTGCATGCTCTTAAATTTCAAGTGCTTTTCTCTATACCATATAGCAACAGTCCCCACCCTTTTTCACCCCAGGGACTGGTTTCATGGAAGACAATTTTTCCATGTTACAGTGTTGGGGGGAAGGAAGGGAGATGGTTTTGGGCTGATTCAAGTGCATTACATTTATTGTGTACTTTATTTCTATTATTATTACATTGTAATATATAATGAAATAATTATACAACTCACCATAATGCAGAATCAGTGGGACCCCTGAGCGGCTGTAAATATAGATGAAGTTTCCCTCATTTGCCTGCCACTCACCTCCTGCTGTGCAGCCCGGTTCCTAACAGAACACTGACCAGTACCAGTCTGCAGCCCAGGAGTTGGGACTGCAACCATAGAGCCCCACGAAGAATAAAAATATATATGTTTTAAATGAAAACCAAGCAGAAGCTTATAGTATAGCCAAGGCTATCTGAGTCATATATAATCTTCATATCTATTTTGGTCAATATATGTATGGAAATCAGATTTGATTAAAATCCTTTTCAGAATATAATGATAAGGAGATATTTTATAAAATGTGGGAAAATCTGAAATATCTGTGTGTGGAATGTGGCCTTTGAATTTCAAGTTTTATCAAAAAACTATGACTCCTGCTATTGTCCACATATGAACAAATTTAAATATCAACCCAATTTCTAAATTGCTCATTGCCTATACGTAGCTTTATTCTTTTGGTTTACTTCTGCATATTTTTGTGTGGCAAAGACTAGGAAACGTTAAGGTATTTTTTTGTTTCCTTTTGTTTTGCAGAATCAGAGATGAGTTACTTTTCTAAGCAAAGAAGCTGCTGAAATGGAGAGAACCAAGCAAGTAATAACAATGTAGCATACTTTGCTTTTCCCCAATGCTATAGATAACTGGAATAGTTCATCTAATCTCTTACATAAGTCTTATGCAAGAGACATGAGCTAGTTCTTTCCTGATCTAGTGCCAGAGCTAATTCAGATATTTAAGGGCTTTTGCTTCCTAATACTCCTGCTAAGCATGATATATGCTTACTTAGTTCACTTAGGTTATTTTTAAATTACTTGGGTAAACACACACACACATTTATGTTTATAAACATCCTTGCCAACACAGTGAAAGCTCACATTGTGTTTGTTCAAGTATGCTTACTCTGAGTGGGAAGGAGAAAGGGAGAGAAAGGTTTAGTATAATTAATGGTACTTTTAAAATCTTTCCTAGAAACATATATATTCACTGGATACATTTAAAAAACAAGCTATTATTATTCATCAGGATTTTTGTAGGGCATAACTATAGTGTAGAAGGCTAATACCCCTATTAACTGGCTCAGAAGTTTGTTTTTTCTTATTTTTAATGAGGAAAGTGAGGCAACTAAAAGTTAAGTAAGTATGCTTAAGAACGAAGAGAAAATCAGAAACAGAGATAGATTAGGTCTCAGAGATCCTGTTTGGACCACAAGAGTAAAGAATAGAATGGAGGGAACATAAAAAAAAATCAAAAGATACAATTCAAGGAAACTTCTAACCCCTTCATTCAGAGCACAGTCTTCTAGGATAGCCCTTAGTCTTTGTCTTAGTGGTTTATCCCCTATTAATGCAGAATTATAAGTGATCATTTTGCTCTCCAGTTGGAGGTACTAGCTCCTTCTTGCCATTCCTCTTAGAGTTAATGAGCTTAACACTGACTCAGAGCAGCTATTACTCTAGAGGCAAGAGGCAGAGCATTAAATAAGCCTCTCTTGGTCTCTGCCTCCTCTATGGAGCTCACTAATATGGTATGGTTTAGCACAGTGTTTCTCAACTCCAAGTACAATTAGAATCAACTGGAAGCTTTCATAAAATATCGTGCCTGGGTCCTGCTTCCCCAGAGATACTTATTTGTTTGGCCTGGGGTAGAGCCAGAGTGCAGCTGTGGTTGAGAACTACTAGTCCAGTGGAACATTGCTTGGAGGCAGGGTGTTATGTGATCATGTTCTTTATTTCTTTATTACATCTGTTTTCCCAGTGTGTATTCACATGTAAGATGAATTTAAGTAGTTCAGAGATGAACTTTCTCTAATCCAAATAGTTAAGTATTTTTTTCATGTGCACTTAAAAATATATCTGTATGTAACTTGCATGTCAAACTTGTGAATCCACAGATATTTTTGCTCAGTACTATAGAAGAGGCAAAATTGTATCTCTCCCCCTCAGGGTTTTTGGCTGGGTTTGAGAATTAAATTGACCTAAGACAGATTAACAGGAGAAAAGCATACAAACTTACTTACTATAAGTTTTACATGACACAGGAGCCCTCATAAGTAAATGAAGATCCAAAGAAGTTGGAATTGAACACTTATATACTTAATTGGACAAAGAGAAATAAATTATGAAAATGTGGCAAGTTCGAGGGGACTTTGGCTAGGGTAGTTTTGGTGAAAAAGTAACTAGGAAGATAAGGATTCATCTCATAAGGTTTATTTGTACAGATTGGTCTCAATTTTGATTCTCCATTTCTAGTGATAAAAACATTACTTTCTTTTCCATAAAGGGAGGACATCTTCCATATCAGGGTTTTATTTCCTAATTTGGGGGAAAAAGGGGAGGTCAGAGAGCCTTTCTTACACCTGATATTTTTATAAGTGCTATCAGCTCAATGTAATCCTTATGCCAGTGTGAGATATTTTAGAGTGGCATATTCTGCTACTTTTCAGTACACCACTATGAAGGTTTCCTTTAAAATAGCGAATTGGCCAGGCATGGTGGCTCATGCCTGTATCCCTGAATTCTGGGATGCCAACGTAGGAGGATCACTTGAGTCCAGGAGTTCAAGACCAAGCTGGGCAACAGAGCAAGACCCGGTATCTACAAAAAATGAAAAAATTACTTGGTGGTGTTGGTGTAACACCTGCAGTCCTAGCTTTGTGGGAGGCTAAGACAGAAGAATTGCTTGAGCCCAGGAGTTTGAGGTTACAGTGAGCTATGATTATGCCACATTCAGTCTGGATAACAGAGTGAGACTCTATTTCTAAAGTAAATAAACAAATAAATAAAATTTAAATTTAAAAGTGATCCAGATTAATAAAAGTATTAAATAAATTATAGGTACTATGAGGCTATCATAAAAATTATAAAGTTGGTAGGAGACTGAAAATTAGGAAACGCTAATTTAAACAGTATGGGAAAATCAATGTACTGGCATGAGCAAGTCACCGACTGTCTTAATTATTCTTGGTAGTCGCTCCCAAGCACCCGCAAGGTAAGAAAGAACTGAAGTTGACTCTGTTCAATTCCCTAAATGACCATTTAACTGATGAGCATTTCACTGGATGACCCATTTGCCAAAAGCCAATTTACTGAATGATCAGCTAACTAATTGACCAAAAGAATACTGAGGAACAAACGTCTTACACCAGACCTTTTGGTGTTTTACTTTGAAGCAAATGGAGAGTTCTCAAAGAACTAAAGATAGAACTACCACAGAGGAGAACTGGAAGTAGAGACCTCGGAGCAGCCTGGAGGCCCGCGGTAAGGGCAGACTTTCTGACTGAGCGGGGCCATTCCAGCCCCTCCCTGGCAGCTTTTCCTAACGGCATTGGTGGTGCCTGAGGGCAGGCTTAACCAACCCAGCTCCGCCCAGACTCACTCCTAGACCAGCCGTCACTGAGGGGGAGAAAAGGACACACCTGGAAGTCCCAGGCCCCATTGACCCCCTGAGGCACTAGAGTGCCTCTCTAGAGGAACAAGAGCTGGTCACAGGACACAAAAACAACAGCGTAGCCTGTTCCTCCAAGCAAGCGCCACCTACTGACAGGGAGGACATTCTGCACACCCTTTTCACAGCACCTACTGACTCATCATACAAGGTGTGGTCGAATCTCACCCACAAACACCACCTACTGGCTCAGAGACTAAACAAGGCATGTCAATACCCAAACAAAAACCTAAAGGAAAGAAGCAACAACTGATTGAGATGGGAAGAAAGCAGTGAAGGAACTCTGGAAATATGAAGAACCAAACGGAAACCACACCCCCCAAAGAGGAGCACCAGACCCTTAGAAACGGACACCAACCAAAATCAGGCAACCAAAATGACAGAAGAGGGATTTCGAATGTGGATCATAATAAAATTGAACAATCTGCAGGAACCACTGGATAACCAACACAAAGAAAATACAAAAAGACTCCAGGACCTAGAACAAAAATTCACTAAAGATATCGATACAATGAAGAAAAGTTTAACCAAACTCCTGGAAATGAAGAATCAATTCGGGGAACTACAAAACACAGTGGAAAGCCTCAAGAACAGGGTAGATCAAACAGAAGAAAGAATCTCAGAGATTGAAGATAACACCTTCCAATTAAATAAAGCAGTCACAGAGATAGAGCAGAGAAACAAGAGAAAAAAGCAAAGCCTACAAGAGATGTGGGATTATGTGAAGAAACCTAGTGTGAGGGTCATAGGGTTACCAGAAGGGGAAGAAGAAAACACTCAAGGGTTGGACAAGCTATTTTAAGATATAATAGAGGAAAATTTCCCAGGCCTTGCTAAAAATCTCGATATACAAGTTCAAGAAACTCAGAGGACCCTTGGGAGATTCAATACAAACAGGAAGACGTCCCGACATGCAGTCATCAGACTGACCAAAATATCAACTAAAAAGGCCCTTCTAAGAGCTATAAGACTAAAGAAGCAAGTAACATACAAAGGAAAGCCAATCCGAATAACACCAGACTTCTCTACTGAGACTTTACAAGCAAGGAGAGAACGGGGCCCCAACCTCACTCTTCTGAAACAGAACAATGCCCAGCCTAGAATCTTATTCCTTGCAAAACTAAGTTTTGTATATGAAGGAGAAATCAAGACATTCTCAGATAAGTAAAGACTGAGGGAATTCACCAAGACAAGACCAGCCCTTCAAAAAGTACTCAAAACAGTGTTACCCATGGATCAGCACAATAAACACTCACAAACGTAAATCTACTCAAAGCTAAAGATCAAAGCCCAGATACCACAATGGATCAAGAGAGAAAACAAAGCAACAAAGATCAACCCAACATAAAGACAGAAATCTGCCCCACCTATCAGTTATCTCAATAAATGTGAATGGCTTGAACCCCCCCTCAAGAGACATAGGCTGGCCGAATGGATAAAGAACAAGCCAAGTATCTGCTGTCTTCAGGAAACACATCTAACCTGCAAGGACACATACAGACTAAAGGTAAAGGGGTAGAGAATAACATTTCAAGCAAATGGAAGCCAAAAGAAAGTTGGCGTGACAGTACTGATTACAGATAACTTAGTTTTTAAATCAACAAAAGTAATAAAAGACAAAGAAGGTCACTATATAATGGTGAAGGGTACAGTTCAACAAGAAGACATAACAATTCTAAATATATATGCACCCAACCTAGGTGCACCCAGATTCATCAAGCAAACTCTACTGGATCTAAACAAATGGATAAACAACAACACCATAATAGTCGGAGACTTTAACACCCCACTGACAGCACAGGACAGATTCTCCAAACAGAAAATCAACAAAGAAATAATGGACTTAAACAGAACTCTAGAACAAATGGACCTGACTGACATTTACAGGACATTCTACCCCAAAACCACTGAATATACGTTCTTCTCATCAGCTCATGGGTCATTCTCTAAGATTGACCATATCCTAGGACACAAAGCACGTCTCAAACAATTTTAAAAAATGGAAATTATACAATGTATCTTTTCAGACCACAATGAAATAAATGTAGAAATCAATCCTAACAGGAGTTCTCATTTCTACACAAAGTCATGGAAACTAAACAACCTTCTGCTGAATGATCACTTCATAAACGAAGAAATCAAGATGGAAA